ATGACATCGATAAATTGATGTAACAAGACTGTCCTGCAGTATCGAATGATAAAGCATCCTCAATTCTTCCGCATGCTCCTGTCAATAATAATTGTCCTAAAGTGAGTCTGGCGGACCCTTTAATCAACTGGGTGTCAAATTATATCTAGCACTATTTTGTTACATTCAAAGAACTCAGCTAAATATTGGACTAATAGAAATTTTAACATTCTCTATATTCTCAAATAATATAATATAATATGCCTCACACGGCTACTTCATACAATAGTAGGTATGATAACTAGCCTTCTTATTTTTTTAATACTTACCTATATACACATCTAATACCTTTAAAGGAGCATTTTTTGTATATTTATAATCTAAATCTTGGAAACGGCTTTAACGATTTTCATGAAATTTAGTGTGCAGGGGGTTTCAGGGGCTATTAATTAATCTAGCTAATATCAGATATCAAATCTAGCTATTTTTTTGAAAATTTACCAAAAAGAAAAATTCCGAGCAAAGCTTGATCATCCAGGTTCTTATTCATAAATTATACGCCTTAACACATACATAGAACAAACGCCCATACTTATCATACAATTATTTGTTCTGGGTGCGAATTGAATCCAACAACCTCTGGCTTCGTAATTAGAATCAATAATTAAAAGATGAATACAATTTTTGAAATACTGAGAAAACAGTAAAATCTATTGTAGTTATTAAAATGTCGTAGTTACGCGTACATCTTGGTATCAGCTAATGTTAAAACAAAATAAGTTTGATTAATAGACAATGGATGACAAACTTTGATAAGATTTCGTTTGATTTAGGATGATTATATGAGGTAGGATATTTGGCCCTGATGATGAAGAAGGTAAATTAATCGGTCTTGTAAAACATTACAATCCAGCACTCAGTTTTCAAGTATGTTTCTTTATTCGAACACGAATTCAAAATGTCAAAAGTAACTAATTCATGGATCTATCTAGGGATCGTCAGAATCCTAACTTACTTCATCCCGAGTGTTACTGCCTATTAATTAAAAAATAATTCAACAGCTGTATGGGGACTAATTTATTTTTGGTAGGGCAGTAATATATTTTAATTTACTTGCTAAGTAAGTAACCAATGGAATATATGTTACCAGTCAAACAATTATGTCAATAGAGCGTATAACAAGTGTGCCAAACGTGTAGTTATTCGCGAGTAAAGTAGCGTCGTTCAAGGACGACCGCTGCGCTAAAAATAAATATGACGTATTATTAACATCTCTTGTATAATATTGACCTACTATTGTACGTCGAATTAAGAATAATAATGTCACGCGGCCCCAAATTCTTCTGTATTACTGTATAACTGGCCGATGTAATAAACCACTTGATGGGTAACGTCCCCAATTGTAAGACCGACATACAGGTGCCCATACCATTCCCTAGCTCCTCACTCTATTAGATATCCTTTTCTGAAATTTATTTCTTCGGAGTTTTTGCTGGTAGTACTTACTTTTATTATTGTAAAAGTTACTGTAATTCTTTATTGTTTGCAAAACCTCCTCTCTAAGGAATGGCCTATGTCCAGCAAAAGGACTATTAAAGGCTGTTGATGATGTCGAAGATGAATATTACAGAGAAAGCCATCGTGGATTAAAGTATGGTTTTTGTGAGTAGCTAACTTGCAACAGAGCTATATAAATACACACAAATACACCGTGCGTCCATGGGCTTTGTTAATCGTAACATAAGCTTACTAAAAATAAAGAAATTGGTGGTTAGGTATATCACACCTAGGTAGGTTAGGTGAATAAATTCAACCGCTGCCATGGGTCAATCAATGGTGAACGTTCTGAACGAAGAATTATCGGGTGAGTCATTATAGACTAGCTATTACCCGCAGCTTCGATTGCGTGATATTTTTTTATTTCGTGTTCCTAAATTTGAAAATGACTAACTTTTATACAACCATTCACCTTTTCTAAGTAAGCACCAGCTTAAAACATATAAAGTATCGGCTGTCAGAAGTTCAAGTGTGTAGCCCAGCTTTTTAGGCTCTCCGTTTATGAATCAGTCAGTTATTCAGGCCAAGTAATTTTATCTGTGTAGATCACACCTAATGATCGGATACATAAGCATGAATATCTTTATATATATAAATGAACCACTATTTCTCCTGTTCATGCTATAACTCGAGAACGGCTTTACCGATTTCATTCATCTTTTTTTTTAAATGTTTTCGAATACTTAGTAGAAGGCTTTTATATAAAAAAAATAACAAAATTGCACAGAAACTTAAAATTTAAGAAAACTTGACGACTACATTTAATATAAACTTTTTTAATGGAACTTTAGCCCCAGCGTTATATACTCTTTGCTAAGCACGTTTGAAATAACTGTCAGTTCTTCGACAGTTCTCTGTCAGTTGTTCAGACGGATCGCCTATATCGTTTATAATTATAGCGTAGCGTTATATTATCTCTGCGTTAATTAGTTGTATCTGTGTGGTATCGGTCGGAATCAAGGGCTTCATCACGGAAATCCATGGTTGGCATTAAGAACGAACTATAACTCTTACCCAGCTCCTGGTCGGAATGATATCTTTGACGAGGTAAAATTAAACTATTTTGCTTTAATTTTGCATATCACTGCACAGTCGATTGAATCGGAAAATTTATGGAGTTTTAAGTTTATTCGTTTTAAATTTTCAGTTAAAATTTTGATATTAAAAATACCAAGAAGTAGACATACAAACATAGGTCGCAAAACTCGCAATGCCGAAAGCTAAAGACATTTAATAAAATTGAACGGAATCGCTATCAAGAACAAAGAAATGTTGCATTTTATCCATGAATCCATTTGATGCATCGAGCTGCATTTAATTATAACATGGCAATCGATCACAGTTCACAGCAAATCGTTGCTATTGGACCTACGAACGTTGTATGTTCACATTGCAAAGCATTGAAGTTAAAAAGCCCCTGGATTGTGTTGCGCCAGCGGCTAAGTTAAATTGATGCCATTGGACCACCAGTTTCGTTGGTTTCTGGAAATAGGCCAGATTCCAATTTTTTTTTGACTGATATCCAGCAATACAATTTGCTTTCAAATGACCTCATTTGGTACATCAAAAATTATTCGTGATAATTTTATGCCCACTTTCAAGATTCAGGGTCAAATATATCATCAAACAGGTTCCTTATTGCCAACGCCGGACAGCGACTACAAATTTTTGCAAATTTATTTTATGGGCGATTTAGCAAGACAAGTCGATCAGCGTTGTACACATAATAATTTCGTTAAAATATCAATTGTGGAACAACTCCAAATATTTTTCCATCAACAAAACGAATTGGTTGCAATATTCAAGACCGCAGAAGATCACACGCCATCTGATAACTACAAAATTGACATCAGAGCCGATAAGACGCCTGTAGGATAACACGCAAGACGTTTTAATGCACCAACAATTGATGAAGTCGCTATTGTCGTCGTGGGTGAAAATTTAGAAAATCGGCACGATCAACTGCAGCGTGTGTTTGAAACATATCGATCATTTTTCATTCAGATTCATACTGACTGATTGTTCGGGAAAATGAAGTCAACCACATCTTAAAATGTCGGCGTCTATTTCACCAATATGTTGTGGATATGTACGTGAAAGTTACATATACACAAAGTAATCAGTATAGAATTCTAATAAAAAAAAAACCAGGAATTCGAGATTTAGCCAGTTTTATACATAACATATTCTACTTCGCAGTCTATTAATAAGAATTTAAAACTAAACGAATTCATCCCATTATGCACAGGCGATCATCTCGTTTACGCTTCGTGACGTACTTGTAAACTTTTCGACACTAACTTGAAACTCGATAAAGATAAATCTTGTTTCGTTGACCGTAAGACACTTCATTAAGAGGTCGATTTGCCTTAAGCTTGCAGCCTTAGTTATAAAATCCTTTTTCCTAAATACTTTGAGCAATTGATGAGCTGAGATTAGAACTTTGTTTTTGGTGCCCTATTTATGAAAACATTGTGACAGATAAAGTATATGGAGTTTCACCACCCCTATTTATTAAGTAGGTGTCGTAAGAGTCAACTAAGGGAACAAACTACGCAGGCAACAGCGCTGCTAAGAGAAGGAAACTCGAAACAAGCCCTATAAGAACCCGTCTGACCAGCGTGGTATAGTAGGTCAAAACCTCCTTTCTGTAGAGAGGCCTATCTCCAGCAGTGGACTGGGACTAATCCCTCCCAACCGCCCACGACGGTAACTCCTGTACACTAGGATCAACAGCAGTGACCCACGAACACATCGATGAATCAAATTCAATCAATTCAAATTAATCAAAGGAAATTTGAGGAGTTACAGCAGGAGTCCAGCAGTGGACTATTTAGAAAATGTCGATGAAATATGTATGTGGTTCGATTGTATTAAGTTTCATTACATAAAGCTGGCTGGAAAAACTTACCACAAACTTTTTTTCTAAATACTCATATGACTTTTCTGAACAATCTTTTTGTAAATACGTTCGAGTATAATAGCTAAAGTTTTGCGGATTCTGGTTTTGCATTTAGATCAACAGATACCTAGATTTTATGTCGATTTCATCATTTTAAATGAAAGATTAACAAAATTTAATGTAAGATCAACAAATCCCAACAGATTAACAAATGGAGACCCTTTCGTTTGAATCATAGACCTGTTCATACTGAACTTTACTTACACAGTCATACGCATTGTTACCGATGCTTAATTGGGATCAGTAGTAAATTAAAGTAGTAGTAGCAGTAAATTAATTTTTTTTGTTATATTGAGTCTATTTATCTATTTGCTCTAAATCTAGTAAAGTTTAGATAGTAAGTAAATACAGTTTCTAATAAAGCAACTTGTAAATAAAAGTATTTGAAATTAAACTAAGCCTTTAAACCCGCAATTTATTTACTAAAGCCTAACATGCACTTCATGAGAATAAGCATGAGACTCGCTCTGGTATTAATGAAATACCTGAAAAATGCACAATTTCAAAGTGTGGGTTGGCTCACTTCCGGTACTTCAGACGCCCACGGCAGACTTGATATCTCCTCATCCAATAAAGCGTGACCGATTTTTAAAATCCTGGATACAAGAACGCTGGATAAAGCAGAATTAATCGTCCTATTTTTCTTTGTGTTTTCAGTCTCCTGCATTAAAGGGACGTGGACTATTTGGAAGCTTGTTGAATGTGTCAGATTTCCTGTAAGAAATAGAAAACCTAAAATACTTGAAACTAAAACAAAATAAAAAACAAAGATTTTTAAGAATTAGGTCAAATGATGTGTAGCGATTTATTGTGCTTATTTCAGTGTTAACGTAAGTGTATCTATGGATTTATTTATTTTATTTTTTAATGACAATAATTATGCGCGAATGTCCTATGCCACATCAAGTATGTAAACCACTTTGTGACTTAGTGACGTCACAAAGTTGTAATTAGCCCAGACGGCTTAAGAGGCTGTTAGCGCGTGCCTCACGGGAGCAACTATGTCGAAGCGTATCAGCAGGCATAGACTTTTATTTTTTATAAATTCAGTGGAATAGTTAGGTGGATTATAAGTGGAGATATATTCTTTAACCTTGTGTGTGTATATTTATGTATTTGTAAAATATATCTATAACATATTTTTTAATTTAATTAATTTAATTTAATTAATTTAATTTCATTTCATTTTGACACATCTGCTATGTCGCATAAAGTCCGCCTCGTGCAATGCCAAAGCAAGTTTTCGATAAAAACGAAATTAAATTAGTGTTTTTTGTATTTGATTGCGTCTTTTTTATATTCCTTCTAAAATTGTACGTATTCAATAAACATTTCGTACTTAAATGGTCGAGTAATATTTTAATCCGCAACAAAGCTGAGAAGTAGATTCTTAGAAAACTCTGAATCACATTTTATTACCTATAGCCGCTTTACGGGTTTACGAGTCTGCTTTGAAGTAGGTACGAGTAATAACGACTTTGAAAAACGCGTCATATAAAGTTGGTCGGGATATTTAAAGGAAAGGATGGAAACTAAAAGATGATTCTCTTATTTTCGTACAGGGGAAAACGAGCAGACGTGTCACCTGAAGGCAAGTGACTACCGTTGCGTATGGATACCTTTTTTTTCTGTGCGGAAATCCCCTCGGACACTACCCACCGTCGGATAAACCCACATGCCGTTTCGGGTACCAGTAGCCGGGTAACCAGGTGTACCTTAGGAAGGAAATCCCTTGTACCCCGACGGATCCCTAGCACCACGGTGTTCCCGTTTTACAACCCAAAGGTCGCACGCGCTCCACAGCATCGCGCCTGCTGCTATGGTGATAGATCTGTCATCCTCAGGCCTGCGCCGTTCCCGGGCCTGGCGAGAGTTCTCGCGCGTCGCTCCGCTGTCTCCTTCGGAAGCAAATCTTGCTCACAGGAGTTCACGCTCTCGCTTCGTACCACGGCCGCAATCATGGTACGATCGATAGAATTCACACTCCGATTGCCGCCACGAGATCACGCCTCTGCTCATCCAAGCCGAGCATTCTGCCAGCGTGTGGAGCGCCATGTCCACAGTCCGGCCATTGCAGTGGTGACACTCAGGCGTTGGCTCCTTACGGATCAGACACAGGCGATCTCCAAAGCATCTTTTCCGGTGGTCAGCTGCGTCAGCTGGTATGATCCCGGGTCCCGTGATACTTCTCGAGCCAATCCTCCATAACGGGTCTTATCGCCGCAATAACGGCGTGCGCAGAGCTTTGTAGCCCAAGTCGTTCCTTCCCCTCCGCCACAAGGGCCTGGCTGAGTTGGATCCAAAACTATTGGACCGATTTTTTCACTAATAGTCTCTTTCTCTTTCTAAAAAGACAACACCCGCATTAGGAATATATATTCCTGTGTCACGGGAGACTTTACAAACATACATGAAACGGACACAAAGAATGTTGTAAAAAAAGTAAATATTGTAAGAAAGTATTGTTTTCATTATAAATACCTGTGGCTAAGCTGTGTCTGTGTTCAAGGTAGCAGTATGTGTAGCCGATGAACGCGCCGGCAGCAACCGCAGACATGGTGATGGTCATGACCGTCGCTGCTATTATCACACATGCCATCCAGCGAGGCTTACTGGACACAAAGATATATTATTATCATGAGCTATTTAACCAGAGCATACAAATGTGCCGTTTCATAGTATCATATTATGAAACGGTAGATTTATAATACATTGAAAACACTTGAAGATAAAAGACATTGTGTCGTTCTATTCAGTATGATCAAGTGCGATAGATGAGTAATTTGTAGACATGAAAATTATTAATATTATTTAATGGGAATTAACGCGATCTCTTATTAAGGGTATTACATACCTCTGGTTTGCCTGACGTTTCGACCAGGTTGCACCGGCCGTGGTCACAGGCTGACACCCGTGACACGTTAATTCCCGTTAAATAATATTAATTATCATGGAACGCGAAAGTTTAAAAGTTAGTATGAAAATTATTGCTACTTCTAAAACTGCTGTGACTAAAACCAATAATTTAATGAAATGATTTGTTTTAGTCACAGCAATTTCACATGTGATTGTGATTTCATCTTAGATAAAGATATATGCCATTAAAATCAATCAACATTATTTTTATCAAATATTATGACCTTTTTTAGATTTAGACCTTTCGCGATTCTTGCGCTAGCGTAATAATAATAATAAGTTTATATTTCACTGCTCAGGCTTAGAAAAATCTCTAGAACCTTCGGCACCGTATTAGTGGGTAACACTACCATGGAAAATACATTTCAGTTCTCGTAACTCGTTGACAGAATCTGCAATTTGTGCTCGTGTTCAACTTTAAAGTAACATTATGATTGTTTACTTTGAAATGATAAATATTTATTGACATCACATCACATCACATCAACAGCCTTTAATAGTCCACTGCTGGACATAGGCCTCTCCTTAGAAAGAAGGTTTTGGCCTACTATACCACGCTGGCCAGGCGGACAAAAAGTATAAATACCCTGACTCCTAAATTAATATGAATTGTAGTATAGGAGCCGCCGACGGCTTTGCGAGGTGTAAAGGTCCTCATAGAACTTTTCGACTTGCGAGAATCTCTGTTTCAGAGATGACGGTGGTGCACTGTGCTGTTCTGAGTTTGGACAGGTAACAACAGGAGGCCTTAGACTTGGCAAAGATTTTTGAGCTCTTTTTCCGAGCAATCACCTCTTCAATCCTGCCATCACTTAGACGGTGAGGCGCTTCTAGATTTTTTCTCACTAGATCCAGAGTCTCGACTTCTTCCTGAGCTTCGACTTGCGTCCAATGCCTCGGTCAAAAGTGATTATAGTCCACCATGCGGACGACACGTACCAGGCTTTCGGTGGCGTTTACGTCCTGCACGGTTTCAAACATTACGAACCGGGTCCGGAGTTCCAGCTGGAAGTTTTCACATCCAGCCTAAACCTGAGCCACAGTTGGCCTAATTGTCGACTTCATCAGGCGCACCCGTTCTGTTCTAATCCATAAGTTCATGGTGCCTCTTACGAGTCGATGATAACTTCCGGTGTTAAACCCGCTGATCACAGAGACGTCTCTGAATATTTGGCGTTTGTTTGTGATGATGAAGTCGATTTCGTTCTTTGTCACACTATCGAGGCTTCACCAGGTCTACTCCCTTTGGGGTTTCTTATGAAAGAAATTAATTCTTAATTGACCATAAATCCGACGCCACCTTGGTTGGTCTCCTTATCGGAAGTGAAGGTGGCCAGAATCTAGGGCTATCGTATTCTCACCCTGTCTTCGGACTTCTGACAGCCCCAAAATATGCCAATTTATACGGCTCACCTCCGCTTCCAGTTCTGCGAGGCGATCATCCAGCCGCAGAGTGCGTCCGTTATACGTCGCCAAATACAGTCGCCAGTGGCAACCTACCGTAACCCGGGAATCTTCGCACTGTCACCGTGGCCAGGAACAGTGCGACTACCGGGAACTGAGGGCCGTGGAATGTGGTTGCGATTCAATTTGCCATAGTCACCATGGCAGGCGGGTTGGTGACCGCTTGGCGAGTATCCTTTGTACATTGTATATAACACTTTCATGTAACTATCATGCTTCTTGTAAAATGGTGTACAAATAAAGAGTTCTATCTATCTATCTATCTATCTATCATTTATCTGGTGGCGCAGCTGCCCGTCTATTTAGTTATTTTCGCAGTGGTGTGGTTATACCGCCACGAGTTGGTCGCCAAAGCATCGTGCGTTGTTCGGCAGGGTGCACCGCGTGCAGGTGAGGTTGACGTTATGAGCCCTAAAATGGTAGGTAGCCCCGCTTACACCCCTATATATGATATAGTTGTATGGCACGTTTATTATTTGAAAATGGTAACATGTAATTTATAATCTCGTTAATAAGTATATGCTTGGGCTGCTTGTATAGGGTATCAAACTTCTTTAGAGTCGAAAGCATGTATTTTTTATCATATACGCGATTGTTGATCGTGTGCTAAACAAGATAAGTCTACAAACCTTTGTAACACCTCTGGAACATTTTCCCTCTCCAAAATATCGTAGCTCACCATACTCGTTTCAATGTCTAAATTTAAATATTCAATTTAAAAATACATCAAAATAAAACCTACGAAATGACAGAACTAATTGAATGTTTTTTTGGATTTTTACTGGTTGTTAACTTCTTGCCAGACAAAAGTACAAAGTACAAAAGAGGCGAAAACCTACAAACACTATTGGCCATAATAAAAACGCTATAACATATAACTAAAACGCCGTGAATTGTGTGCTTGTTTATAAAAGCTCATTTTTACAAGGCCAACAGTCATTGTTGTTAAATAAAAATTATATAAAGATATCTAGCATCAAATCACAAGACAGTTAAAAGTATTACCGACGTCATAGCAGTCACAGTAAAAAAGACTCTCTAACGTTGTATTTTAGCACACATTAGATTGTAAAAATAATCAGTCAGCTAATGTTTTTGATTTCAACTAGAGATGGTGATTAAATACTAGCTGACCCGCGCAACTTCGTCTGCGTCTCTCAATAGTAATAAATTTTCTCCGTTTTTTAAACATTCTTCATTGGTGCTCCGCTCCTATTGGTTTTAGCGTGATGATATATAGCCTATAGCCTTCCTCGATAAATGGGCTATCTAACACTGAAAGAATTTTACAAATCGGACCAGTAGTTCTTGAGATTAGCGCGTTCAAACAAACAAACAAACAAACTCTTCAGCTTTATAATATTAGTATAGATACGTCAAAATAAGTTACTAATAGAAGTAATAAAAGCAACTTTAATTACATAAAAGATAATGTGACGCGTAAAGCCAGTGTCACTTGGGATGATCTTAAGACTATAACAATACCCCACACACTCAAATCTGTTTAGCCATTCAGAAGTCACAACTTGAAAACAACAACAACACAATTTGAAAATATCTAATTATAAAACTTGAAAACAATATACTTCTTTTTTTAATGCAACTGCGAATACCAAAATAGTTCGCTCTTCGATATTTATGACAAACCCTGACCTGACTAACAAGGATGGTTCGTAACGTAACGGGCATAGAGACTCTATATCAAGAGGAATTACTCCGTCATATTAACTTAACATTACTTTTTAAAATATAACTAGATTTTATATATTTATGATTTACACTTCTATCTTTTGAAGAGCAATGTAATTCTGCAACATGCAACGTACAATTTAGTAAGTTGAATGTTTTACCTATTAGAAGTCTATTTACCCGTCTTACTTGTGGTTGGTTAATCTGTTTATGGTTAACCTGACTTAATAATACTTAATCTGTCATGTTTTTTGAAGTATTATGAGTTTTTTATATTTTACATGGATACAGACTTATATTTTAATGTTGTTTACTTTTGTACACTGTTTAGTTTACTTTGTTAAACTCGTTTTTATTTTTAATTAAAATGTGTGGTTGTGATTGCGGTGGTTGTGGAGGCATACCTTTTTGCACAGGCAACTTATTTGTTATAGCGGAAAGGTAAGATAATTTATTTTAAGTAAAAATACTCGATATCTCAGTTAAAGTCAGTCAAGATTAAAAGCTTTCGTTCGCTCTGTCCACTTCGATCTGCAGTCCCATAGGCGAATCTTCAGTTATGTCATTTTTAGAAGCATCTCTATAATGGTTCACGTTTATATTAATACATTTAAAAACTAAATTAAATGTCTATAAGACAGAAGTAGAAAATTCACCATGATTTTCCAAAAACTTTGTTCATACAGGCAAATAATAAGAAACTAATACAGCATAGTAATAAATACTAACCTAGTTCAGTAAAAAATACTTCATGCTAAATTGGTTATCTCTGCAGAGTGATCTCCTATGTGGCCCTGACGGCTGTGGTGTGTTGTATCGTAATACTATTCGCTATTTCATTGGGCATTGGAATTGGTCTTGGTTATAACTACTGCGTCGTGGACTTGAAGGTTCAGTCGTGTATGTACTTTTCTCATATTTTTCTTTGGAAGTAAATGTAGTTTATTCGACGTATATATACATATAATAGGTAATATCCATTGTGGAATATTTGCAACTCATCCTAAAGCTATACAAGGTCTCTACATTATGATGAGTTGTCATGAACTGTACTCTTCATTCCTTAATCATCCACTTTTGGGGGTAGTATATTTTCTTCGAAAGACACTTTCAATTAAAAACATAATTTACCTAATTATTTCACAAATGGCGGACTTCTGAGGCGAGGTAACCAACATAAATATCACCCATCGTATTAAGAACCTAAGTCGGTTGTAAATTTGATGAAATTATGGCCCATTGCCATAGTTTAGGCGAATTAAGTCTTAGTTGTACATTAATCTATTCATATCTGTCCATATAGATTGCCACGTATTAGCCCGCACTGATTAGCTCGATGGGAAGTGATTATTAATTACAGACGGTGATTAGGCTTACACATATAGTGCTAATGTTGTTCGATTTATGCCCATGTTTAGTTATATTAGTAATGAAATTTGATTAGCGATCAAAATAACGATTGTAAGTTATAAGCAAGTAATTCTAAGTGCTTTTAAAGCTTCCTTAAAACTAGATCTTTATACGAGAAGAAAATTATTTGTACCCCTTTTTTCAATAAAAATGGCACATGAAAGCATACAAGCTCTTCACAAGTTTTTTTAACATATAAAACAACATATAAAAATATACACACAAAAGTAATTAATTTACATAGCAACAAAAAACCACAGAGGTTTAATCCCGTGCTATAATGGGTCTGTCTACCATTCGTTGTTTACATTATACTTACACAATAAATAACCAAAAGTGTTTTTTATTTCGATGCCATAAACACATCTATCATTAACATCCAATAGAATAAATTACATAGATAGATGTTTGTTTACATACAGCCTAATTGATTAGAATCTAAGCCACTAGTTCAACTCAGTACAACCCCACCACCCGGTGGTATCCGAGGGGATTTCCGCACGGAAAAAAAAGAAAAAAAATCAATCTATATTTAATATTTTGGTTCGTTATAGTTAGTTTAGTTTATGTATGTCTGAGGATAGACAATTGATAAGTTTTGGGACAATATAACCTGTAGTTCGTTCGCCGTACCGGTCCTCGCGGTTGTTGGACAGAAATGATCTACTAACATTTACGACAACCTGTAGTCATCGCAAAATATAAATGATTATCACTACAACCGAACTAGGTAAGGTTATATGAAACGAACAGGTTAAAACTAAGCCGGGCTTCTCCCCATGGGTCTTATTATTATGTCAGGTTTTGGAAATTTAAATTTGGAGTGCTTAATTTTTACAATGGAGATGCGTAACTAAAATTTATAAACAACATGTGATAAAATTTTATAAAAACGTCTACATCACGCTTTGTCGGCCCAGTACATATTTTGGCCTAAAAAAGTCTATAAAATGACAGTTCAAGTTAAACTGATTAGGCAATCAAACAATACATTCATAACGGTCGAAATTCAACCGCTAGTATGTATAGTGACTCATTTTCAGTTATTCATTTTCATTTTCATTCAGTTATAGTCGCAGCACTGAGTTTCTGTATTCCATTGCAAATAATATATTTCATAACCGTCCGGCCGTTTTAGCACAGAAGTGGTTTACATACTAATCCACACATGATAGACATAAAGTATAAATGGGACGTGAAAAAAAATTGCTGAGCTTCATCATCATCAGCATTTTACCATGTAAATTACTAATCACATTAATCATTAGTCAATTAGGTTTAAAGGGCTTATAATTTAAATGTTTTTAAATACATTGCAGATTCTCAAAAGCCCCCAGCGTTGAGAAGTGGCTCAGACGAAAGTGTAGATGAAATCCCAAACGACAGTAGACGGCGATTGGTTAGCTCAAGTACGTCATCAGCTACGGATGCAGTTGCAACAGTAACAGTTACAGCACCCGCTGTTGCGGCCGATAAATATACCTTGACCCTGCCCCTGCATGGCAATATGGATTTCGCAGCACTCCTTGCAAAATTACGGGCCCGTAACAAAAACATAACCCTGGAACTTGTAACTTGAACAATTATTATTTTGTTCTGATTAACTGAGTTTCTTTTGTTTAACCCTTACTCCTTTGCCCTTAGAAAAATGAAAGCGATTTACGCAAAGCACTGATACTGTAAATTTAAAGTTAAGATTGTCTCTAATTAAAACAAATATAAAGCTTGCAATAAAGTAAAATGTATCTAAAATTAAATTAAAAGTAACAAACCACTTAAATATGTCATAAATATATCTAAAATCATACCAATGACTTAACATTAAGTTGTAATGATTTGTAGAGTGTAATTCTTGTTCTCAGCCCTTAACTTCGCCAGCAAAGTTAACAAACCTGCAGGAGATATGGGCGTTGGCTTTTTCAAGTCTATATCTTTGACTTCGGAGCCGTTAGTAATAGACACTGAAAACATATTTGTAGTTGTTTCTGTGCTATTGCCATAGGAATCTGTAATATTAATCGCAAGAGTTGTCAAATTTGGTGTTTCTTCAATATTAGGCAACATTGTACCCTCTGGAGAGATTGTCACGGGTGGAATAGAGTGGAATATATATTTTTGCTTATTCTGATCGTGTTGACGTTCACTTTCAATTACTTCTTTAAACATTTCGGCATCTTCCGTTATTCTTAGCATATGTGGTACATTCTTAAACGTATTTTCGGGATTTGCTGCATTTTGTTCTGCTTGATAAGACCAATCTGCAGAATCATCTGGATGTAAGTAACGAGCTGGAGCTGGAAAATAACAATACTATATGTATTAAGGTATATTGAAATGATGTATAAATTATTGTTTTTTGTTAACAGTCATTGTAGAATCTAATAATCCTATTTCAAGGCGCTAATAAGATTTTTTATCTATGTTGAAAAATCTACCAACGTCATTCATCATGCTATCGTCGCTTAGCTCCGATTATATCTTATACATACAAAACAAGAGTGGAATGTGTATGAGGCACCAGAGCGAGGACACAATGAACATGTCTAATAGAAAATCCACCCTAAGACTAACCGTAGTATTTTAGCAGGAACAGCAGCAGGTGGCAATAGCTAAATGTCCTGATGTTCAGGTTGTCAGTGAGGTCAACTACATTTCTTACAATGACTAAGTTGTAAATAATCCGTCGAGTTTCGAGTTATATCTACATAAGGAAAGTTTGTGAAAATCATACCAATTTTGTATTTTGTCACCATTTCAACAAAACAGTAATTGTATCCAAGGCCGATGCCGAGTCCCAACACCAATGTGATAGTGGTCACAAGGCAGCAGACCACGGCGGTGAATGTGATCCACTGTGACAAACTACCGGAATAACAAACTAGTAAATATTATATTGTAATAGTTATAAAGAAGTTTTCTTGGTTTTGGGGTTCTTTGGTATACCTTCAACATGATCTATGTATATTCATTCTGACAGTTGCCGAAAGATTTCTTATCCTAATTTGCATTTATTTTAGAAGAAGTTACCTATTCAATTTTAATCAAATGTAAATTGTTTTAGAAAACTCCGGATAAGGAATAACAAATTTTAAGAGCGTTATTGTGTTTAAATACTGACCTCTCAATCGTTGAGAGTGCATAAGAATAGCAACTCACTATTGAACCCATTTGATGTTTAGTGAAATATAATCTGAAGATAATGATATTATCTCTGATGAAACTGAAATATCAAATTGGGAGAACTACAAAAACGTTCTCCGTTACTGATAACGTGACTCAACAATACTTTTAGTTTATGGCCAATACCATAAACAAGTATTTGTACACTTTTGAAATATCATCAGACTGAATATTTGATTTAGTCTTTGGGTGAGATAGATAGGAATAGACTTCTTTTATTATCTATGTTAAACCATATTAGAGTAAGTACATGAATTTCGTTGGTTTAAATTATAAAAATTATAATTTCGTGGCTGTGTCTGACTAAAGTTATCGATTTTTATTCAGCTTTTTTTAAAAGAAAGGCTTATTATTTTAGTATTCGAGTGTCACATTGATTATATAAATTTCAAAATTTTGTTCATATTTAAAAATTGAGTCTAGTAGTATTGGAAATTTTACTTCGAAATGAGAGAAACTCTTTTGATAAGAAAGCAACTCGTGTAAACCTTTATTTTAACAGTCTAAAAGAACGTGAACGCAAGATTTACTCAGATGTCTAAGATTGATTTCCGTACGAGATTCTTTTCAACTTAATTGACTGGATTAAGTATAAGTTTGCATCAAATACCGAATACCGTTAGCCAATTTAGTAAGTTATGTCATATATATGATGAATTGCATTATATACAAGACTACAACCTGTAGATCTTAAAATGTACCCACACATAAATTTTTATCTTATGAACGTATAAATCGGTGTGTATTTTCCTTATGAGAATTCTCGGATGGCAACAATAACATTTGCTGCGGATATGAAATAACAACTTTTATGGATAACTAATATTGACTTTACCTATCTAAAAGCAGCGTCCCGGATTACATTATACCATGTTTTGTGTGGAGAGGCTATTTATTAACTTATATAGTTTTATGCAGGGTTAACGTATGGTACGAGAGCTGATGGCTCTTTCGGAGAAATTTGAAGTACTACAGAAGACAACACTTTTATTTCGGGTAGGTAAGTGACCGGTGGCAATATTCGATAGAAACTTAGTATCAATAATTCTAAGTTCATTTTGACTCTTTAATCTATTAATAAAAAAGGGTGAAACTGAATAAGAGGCAGTATATAATATGTACATTATCAAATAAATGATATTTATTTCTGTAAGTAAATCTTTTCAGATAGGTATTTTTACAAGTTGGACTTTACAGCTATAGACTAGATATGTGTTAACTTTTATAATGTGGAACCACTTATATATATATAAGTGGTTCCACATTATAAAAGTTAACACATATCTAATCTCTATATATATATAGACAAGGCAATAATATAACAACTTGGTTAATGCAGTTAGAAAGGGTTTTATAGTAGTTAAAATACATTATTTAAAGAATACGTTATATATATACGTTATATGTATGTATGTATGCAAGGAAAAACAGTTGAGTAACTTCTAAACAGTCAAATGTAACTATAGTAACGACAGCCATACATAAGTTGTAGGAAGATATGTAGTCTCTTCACAATATGTATATACTACGAGTATAAGCCCTGATCAATATACGTCCAGTGTTTATCTTCTTTTTTGTATCGAGTATATGTAATATGCTTTATATTGTGTGGAGAGGGTTTAAAATGAATATAAATAGTGAAACTTCTAGACCGACTCTCTATACTCCATCACAGAGCGCTTTTAAGCAAACTTTATGCGTCCTGCAACCACGCTGAGGGAACAAAATGTCGCCTGCGATATTTTCTGACCTTAAGGAAAAGAACATGTTCCCAAGTGTTATTCTTGAGTCGAAGGTATCCGTGGGTGGCGATAAACCTCCCTTCTAAGAAGAGGCCAGCTGTGGTCTACTAAAGGTTGTTGATGATGATGATGGGTGGCGATATCACTTGCCATTAGGTGACCAAGCTGCTCGTTTGTTATTTAAAATTAGGTAGGTATAGGTATTACAATATATTTAGATTATTGTGAAACGCACGTTCGAATCGGAGATTTATCAAAAGTTTTGCAATGTTATCAAAGATTTTAAGTTAGAACAATTTTTCATCTATATTGTTCAAAAAACTTAGTCATTTGGTCATTTAGTCTAATTGAGTAAGACAATACACGAGAAAGAATATAAGTATAATCGCAATGAAAGTTAGTGAATCCAGCCGGAGACTACATTATGTATGAACGTGAATACGGAGACCCATTTATTCCAAACAAGACCTCGAACAACCGAGGGGCTAATGTCGCAATAAAAATTCTCTCACACAGCAGGATTCGTTTTTGGACGAATTTGAATTGTTAATAAGGAAATTGTTATCCAACAGATTTTTAACGAAGATAAAAGGAAACTTTTTAATCTTGTCGACCGTTACCATCTAAAGGAGCAATGAAAGTTGTAAGTAATAAATAGTAAATAACAAAATAAAAGTTACATTAAATACAAAGAAACATAATGTTCTGAAGTTATATCTATCTCTTTTATTGTGGGTGTTAGTGATGACGACTGTGATACTTACCTTTAAACTTTCTCGTTCTATGGTAATTATTTAATTATGTATGTAAACAGAAATCAACTTGTATATACAGCAATAGCCGTGATAAGCAGCTAAATTATGGCCGTGATCAGTTTGTGACCACGGCCTGTACATGCTGGTCGTCACGTCAGGAAATTCAAATGTATGTAGTGTGGAGGAATGGTCCCTCCAATACAAAGGGAGGATCCTCGAGGAGGTGGTGACCATGCCTGGCGGGCCGCGGCCCAACGGTAGCTGAATGGTATGTAAAGTTTTCAACTTGTATTATTATAGTAACACTACAATTTAAGTCTTGGTTTTCTTTTTGATTTATAGCTAAATCTTTTTTTTACCGTTTGTGCATATCACTATTACATACGAATATTTTGCTAAACGACCATGAGTGCCGAAACGGATTACTGTGTGTCATGAATATGAGATAAACTGTCATCTAGAAAAGTTTAAAGTGTAAAAGTTTGTCTTGAAAATAATGTTTCCAATTAAACTTAAGTTGAAGACAAGTTCTATTAGTGCGAAATAAATGTGCAAAATATACTTTGATTCTTTTGTATTTAGAAATAAATTAGTTCGCTTTAGAGAAGGATTTCAGAATGGTTTATCGTAGTTTCACTATGTAAGTATAGCTAGCTTTAGGTAGCTACAAGGCTGTTGTTTCTAGTAAATGCATTATTCTGAACCAGTCTAAATAAGTGTGTTATACAGGTAACTATTAAATTACCAATTTAATATTTTCACCAATAATCCTTTTTTGGAATAAAGTTCAGAAGAAATTTTTAAATACTAGAAATCACAATTATCCCTAAATTCTAATCTGTGTTCTTCAATATTTATATATTTAGTATACATTTATTACTCAAATATGATAATTTTACTTACGTAGTCAGTAGGCAGGACTACGAGATTATCAACATGTTTATTTGGTATCGGCGCAAAACGTAATAGGTATTACAAAGATTTTTTAGCAGGTTTCTTTTATGGCGTTACCTGAGTGGCTCCTTGGTGAGGTATTTGTTTTATACGTAAAACAGATAGGATGAAGAAGCTGAAGTAAATTTTAATGCAAGACTGTTAAGCGAAACGAGACTCGTGTGATTGGTAAGGCCACCAGCCATCATCATCATCATCATTATCACTGGTCAAGCACAATGAACGCAAAGTTATTTTTACCATGTTGTTTCATTTCATCAAATAGTGCTTTTCGATAGAAAATACATGTCACCAAAATAGACGACTATGCATGACTTCCTTCCCAACCTACCATTTTCTCTATACTCAAACTGGAAAATTTAAAATTCTAAAAGATCTCTGTGTCATACTGTCATATTTTACGTGACGTAGACATTATAATATGTATTGGTTACTTGTTGTGATATAATGAAAATAGCACCGATACTTTAACTCGTTTTATAATGTGGTAATGATATTTTAAGCTTATACACATTTTAATAGCTGTACATGCTGGTAGGTTAATGTTTTGTGACAAAGTTTGACTTGTATCCTTTGTCGTTACATTTTTCATTTAGTTTGTTGCGCCTTGTTTTCAAATACATGTAGGATTTTATTTTAGACAAAGTTTGACTTGTATCCTTTGTCGTTACATTTCTCATTTAGTCTGTTGCGCAGTGTTTTCAAATACATGTAGGATTTTATTTTAGACAAAGTTTGACTTGTATCCTTTGTCGTTACATTTCTCATTTAGTCTGTTGCGCAGTGTTTTCAAATACATGTAGGATTTTATTTTAGACAAAGTTTGACTTGTATCCTTTAGTCGTTACATTTTCATTTAGTTTGTTGCGCAGTGTTTTCAAATACATGTAGGATTTTATTTTAGACAAAGTTTGACTTGTATCCTTTGTCGTTACATTTCTCATTTAGTCTGTTGCGCAGTGTTTTCAAATACATGTAGGATTTTATTTTAGACAAAGTTTGACTTGTATCCTTTGTCGTTACATTTCTCATTTAGTCTGTTGCGCAGTGTTTTCAAATACATGTAGGATTTTATGTTAGACAAAGTTTGACTTGTATCCTTTGTCGTTACATTTCTCATTTAGTCTGTTGCGCAGTGTTTTCAAATACATGTAGGATTTTATTTTAGACAAAGTTTGACTTGTATCCTTTAGTCGTTACATTTTCATTTAGTTTGTTGCGCAGTGTTTTCAAATACATGTAGGATTTTATTTTAGACGTAAACATATAAAAGTAAAAAGACGACTGGATGTCTTAGTGGTTTGTGTAACGGACTGCTATTCCAAAGGCATCGCGGGTTCGATTACCGCTTAAATGAAACATTTGTGTGCATGAACATTTGATGTTTGATTTGGTCTGGGTGTTTCTATTTATAATAAGTATGTATTTAAAAAAAATGTATATATGTATTTATATTTGTTGTCTAGTAGCCATAGTACAAGCCTTGTTTAGTTTGGGACTAGATGGCGTTGTGTATATAGGGGAGAAAGTAAATATA